GTTATCAAGATTAAATGTAATCCCTATGAAAATTGCAACATCATTTTTCACAGAAATAAAAAAAATTCTAAAATTCACATGGAACCACAAAAGACCCCAATAGCCAAAGCAATCTTGAGCAAAAAGAATAAAGCTGGGTTGGGCACGGTGGCTCAAACCTGTAAAAACAGTACTTTGGGAGGCCAAGGTAAGAGGACTGCCTGAGCCCAGGAGTTCGAGACCAGTCTGGACAACTTGGTGAGACTTGTCTCTACAACAAATCAGAAAATTAGCTGGGCATGGTAGCGTCTGCATGTAGTTCCAGCTACTTGGAAGTCTGAAGCAGAAGGGTCGCCCGAGTCCAGTGGGGACAATGGGGTGGCCATGAGTGAGCCACTGCACTCCAGCCTAGGCAACAGAGTGAGACTGACTGAAAAAGAAAAAAAAAAGAATAAAGCTGGCAGCACCACACTGCCTGATTTCAAAATCTATGACAAAGCTACTGTAATCAAAATAAGCAAGGTATTAGCAATAAAAACACAGTGACCAATGAAACAGGATAGAGATCCCAAAAATAAATCCACACATTTATGGTCCATTGATTTTTGCAAAGGAGCCAAAAACACACAATGGAGAAAAAATAGTCTTCAATAAATGGTGCCGGGAAAACAGACTAGTCACATGCAGAAAAATGAAATTATACCTTTATCTCATACCATGTACAAAAATAAACTCCAAATGGATTAAAAACAAACATAAAACTGTAAAACTACTAAAAGAAAACTTAGGATAAGTACTCCACACTCTCAGTGTGGGCAAAGATTTATTAAATATTACCACAAAAATACAGGCAACAAAAGCAAAAATAAATGGGATTACATCTAACTAAAGAGCTTCTACATAGTAAAGGAAAAAACTAATAAAGAGCCAACCTATGGTTTGGGAGAAAATGTTTGCAGACTATACATCTTATTAAGGGGCTAATATCTAAAATGCATAAGGAATTCAACAACTCAATAGCCAAAAAAGAAACAAAGAACCAAACTGACAAATGGGCAAAGGACCTAAATGATATTGCTCAAAAAACAAAATTGGCCAACAGGTACATAATAATATGCTCATCATCACTAATTATCAAGGAAATGTAGATGAGATATATCTTACACCTATTAGAATGACTATTATCAAAAAGATAAAAGATAAGTGTTAATTAAGGTGTAGCAAAAAGGGAGCTGTTAGTGGAAATGTAAAAATTAATATACCCATTATGGAGAACAGTATGGAGGTTTGTCAAAAACTAAAAATACAACTACAAGTCTGTAATCCCAGCACTTTGGGAAGCCAAGGTGAGAGGACTGCCTGAGCCCAGGGGTTCAAGACCAGCCTGGGCAACTTGGTGAGACCTCATCTCTACAATAAATCAAAAATTAGCCGGGCATGGTAGTGTATGCCTGTAGTTCCAACTACTTGGAATGCTGATGCGGAAGGATCACCTGAGCCCAGCAGTCCCAATCTGCAATTCCAATTCTGGGTCAAAGGATTGAAATCAGTATGCCAAAGAGATATCTATATTCACATTTCACTGCAGCATTATACACAATAGTTAAGATATAGAAGCAAGCCGGGCTTGGTGGCTCAGCCTGTAATCCCACGCCTTTGAGAGGCTGAGGTGAGTGGATTGCCTGAGCCCATGGGTTCAAGACCCGCCTGGGCAGCGAGACCTCATCTCTACAATAAATCAAAAAATCAGCCGGGTGTGGTAGCACATGCCTGTAATTCTGGCTACTCGGAAGTCTGAGGCGGAAGGATCGCCGGGGCCCAGCAAGTCGAGGCTGCAGTGGCCGGGAGCAGCCACTGCACTCCAGTCTGGGCAACCGAGTGAGACTCCAACTCAAAAAAAAAGATATAGAAGCAAACTAAATGATCATAATACAATGAATGAATAAAGAAAATGTAGTATACATACACAATGGAATACTACTCATCCTTAACAAAGAAGAGAATTTTGTCATCTGCAATAACATAGATTAATTTCAAGGACATTATGCTAAGTCAAACATGCCAGTCACAAAGACAGATTGTGCATGATCTCTCTTAATGAGAAATCTAACAAGTAGAATCCACGTAGTCAGGGTAGAATAGGGGTAACCAGCGGTTGAGAAGGGGAGCGGATGCAGAAAGAAGACTTGTTATTCAAAGGGTACAAAATTTTATTTAGAAAGAATAAGCTTTAGTGAACTACTGCACAAAATGATGACTGTATAATAAACAACACTGCATCGTATTTTTCAGTTTTTTTTTTGAGTCCAATTATCACTGTGTCACCCAGGCTGGAGTTCAGTGGCAGGCTCACAGCCACCCCAGGGTCGACCCGTTGGGCTCAGGCGATCCTTCCGCCTCAGCCTTCCAAGCAGCCGGAACTACAGGTGCACATAACCATGCCCAGCTAATTTTTTTGATGTACTGTAGAGATGAGGTCTCACCAAGTTGCTCAAGCTGGTCTTGAAAACCTGGGCTCAAGCAATTCTTTCACCTTGGCCTCCCAAAGTGCTGGGATTACAGGTTTGAGCCACCGCTCCTAGCCTGCACTGTATTTTTCAAAAAAGTTTTTAAGTTTCCAGGCATGCAAAAAAGAAGAAAATTAGAACCCATAATGAGGAGAAAAATTAATCAATAAAAACAGACAATGACTATAAAAATAGACAGAAATGACACAGATGATAGATTTACCCAAAAGCCATTAAAAACAGCTATTATAAATATGCTCCACATGTTCAAAATATAGAAGAAAGTATGATCGTGTTAAGGAGACATGTCAAGAACATAAAAAAGACTCATATCAAACTTCTAGAAAAGAAAAATACTATGTCTAAGGTGTCAAATACACTGGATAGTATTAACATCAGATTAGACGTGACAGGAAAAAAATGTATTTAAACATGAAGATGTAGCAGCAGAAACCGTGCAACATGAAATCAAGAGAAGAAAATAATGAATATTGCATAAATGAAGCATGGTATAACACCAAGCAGCCTAATTAATATTCGTGTAATTGGAGTTTCACAGGGAAAGGCAAAGGGGAGTCAGAAAAAAAATTTTGAAGAAATGAAAGCCCAAAGATTCATACATGTGATGAAAACTATAAGTTCACATGTATAGAAAAAAGAATTAATATAGTCAGCCTGAGATGGCTAGCCTTAGAAAACTCTGCTTGCAAAGCTGGTTCTTACCTACCTTCTGGAAACTTAGATTTCAAGAGAGTTTTCATCATTCCCTAAATGATAAGGGTGGTTCGCTGAGTCTAAAGTGTACAAACAATATGGTTTATGCTGGTACCTGTTTTCTTTCTGGAAGTCTGAAATTTGGGTATATGCTAGGCAGAGGATGCCTATGTGACCAGTCCCCAATTAAAAACCCTGGGCACTGAATCTCTAATGAGTTCCCCTTGTAGACAACACTTACATATGTCACAACTTTTTGCCAAGGAATTAAGCAAGTCCTGTATGACTCCACTGGGAAAAGACTCATGGAAGATTGCTAATTCAGATTTGTAGCCTTTCACTGTAACAAATCATATTCATGAGTATGACTACAGGCTAAGTCCTGAGTATCCTTCTAGTGAACTGCCAAATCTGGGAGTGACCTTGGGTACCCCCATAATACCACAGATTCAAGAAGCTTGACCATGCAAAGCATATCAAAACCAAATTGCTTAAAGCCAGTAGTAAAGAGAAGATCTTAAGAGAGCAATGAGAATCGCTTCAGGCCACTGACAGTAACTTGAACTAAGACAATGAAGGAATGCCTTCAAAACGTTGAAGGAAAATTATTCCCAACCTAAAATTCTATATATATATATTTTCAGTCACATAAAGAAGTATGATAAAAAGCACCTTTTGACATGCCAAGTCTCAAAAAATTACTTCCAGTGATCACTTCCCAGGAAGCTACTAGAACAAGGGTAAAAATCAAAAAAGAGCAAAACACGAAATCCAGGATAAGGGATCTCCAAGCAGAAGAATGAGAGCAAAGTGAGATCCAGGGTGACAATGTCCACAAAGCAGAGAAGACATTGAGCTCAAACTGGAGCAGCTAAGTAGCTGTGGGAAGAACTTCTCCAAGAAAATGAAACTAAAGGCTGGGTGTGGTGGTTCACACCTATAATTCCATCACTTTTGGGAGGCCAAGGTATTCGAGCTTGAGCCCAGGAATTCGAAATCAGTCTAAGCCACAGAGTGTGACCTCGTCTTTACAAAAAATCAAAATAAAATTAGCCAGGCATAGTGGTATCTTTTGTATGCTTAAACATGTTGAAGGAGCTCTACAGGTATACAAAAATTACTAATAAAAGTAGTTGACCTAGAATGGGGAGAGTAAGAGTTATCTCAGCTACTCATGAGGCTGAAGCAGAAGATCTTTTCAGTCCAGGAGTTTGAGTCTGTAGTGAGCCATGTTTATGCCATTGCACTCAGCCTGCATGACAGAATGAGATGCTGACTCAAAAAACAGAAGCAAAATGAAACTGATAGAATGCCTGCTATATCTGAAAATTTTAACAAGAGAGCTAGACAACGGTGAAATATTATTTTATTAACGGTAAGTAAAACTAGGTAAACAAAAATCAAAATAATTATTAAGTCCAGGGAAAACAAAAAGTTGTGGGGAAAAAATGATAATTAATATTTGCCCTGGTTATTAGTAGTAGTAGTAGTAGTAGTAGTAGTATTTATGTATAATGACGTAAATGCTGAATATCATCTAGTCAAACCTTGATATATTTGTACAAAGCTCAATGTATAGTTGAGGGTGGAGAATGGGTGAGATGAAAGCTCAATATTTATCCACGTTTAGAAGCACAGCACAAGCATGTTATTTAGAGACCAGAAGGTAAAGAACAGAAGAACCCACTAACAGTCAAAAGCGGTTGTCCCTGAGGAGGAAGGGGAAAAAAAACAACAAAATGCTATGATTAAGAAAAATTATTTTTAAAAAACAAAGGTCTTCAAATAATTCACTCTTACCTTGGGAAGTTCAAAGAGCCTCTCATCACTTGTCAAAGAACGGTTACTTGCACAAGAAGCACAGTCTGAGATTTCCACAGCACCCTCACCATCTTCAAATTCATTATATTCACTAGCATCTTCCTTGTCACTGTCAACTTCCCAGTCAATAAACTGTAATTCATCTAAAAGATATAATTAACTTGCTTAATTTTATATCTCAATATTTCACTTTCTATATCTATTTTTATTCTCAGTAGTTAATATATCCATGTTACTGAATGTTTTAAAAAATATATTAAGATAAAAAGTATATTTCTACTCTTATCATCCAATTTCTCCCAACTCTTACTCTCTCCATTCTAAGTCAACTACTTTTATTAGTGATTTTGTATGCCTGTAGAGCTCCTCCAACATGTTTAAGCATACAAAAGATACTGTTAATTTTTCCTCCTTTCTTACACACCTTGACTTTTTCACTTAATATAATTAAGGTTTTACTATGTCAGTAAGCAGGGAGTACCCTCATTCTTTTCTTCAACATAGTATTCCTTAACATAGTTAACATAGTTTATTTAACTAGTAGTCTTCGATTAGAAAATTTGTTTCCATCTTTATAATTTTTTTATTTTTATTTTTTATTTTTATTTTTTATTTAAAGATGTGGGGTACAATTCAGGGTTAGGTACACAAGTATTCATTATGCAGGTACCCTTGCTGATGAAGTGTGTCCCTTCCTCCCCTAGCAGTTTCCCTCAACTGCCGATCCCACCCCCCTCCCCTGGCAGTTTCCCACTAATCCCAATCTCTTTCTCATGGTATTAGGATCATTGTTCAAGGTCCACTTATGAATGAGAACATATGGTACTCTGATCTTTGTTTCTGTGATAGATCACTGAGTATAATCGACTCTAAATCTATCCAAGTTGCTACAAAGTCCATATGTTTGTCTTTCCTTATGGTTGCGTAATACTCCATTGTGTATATGTACCACATTTTTTTTATCCAGTCCAGCTTCAATGGGAAGCATGGCTGGTTCCATGTTTTTGCTATTGTGAATAGAGCTGCAACAAACATGCATGTGTAGGTATCTTTTTGGTAGAATTAGAGTTCCTCCGGGTATATTCCCAATAGGGGGATTGTGAGGTCATATGTAAGGTCAATTTCTAGTTCGACTAGAAAACACTTTTTTTTTTTGCATTTTCACCCAATAATTTTTCTATAGATTTTTTTTTTTTTTTTTTGAGTTGGAGTCTCACTGTTGCCCAGGCTGGAGTACAGTGACATATGCATGGCCACTGCAGCCTTGACCTGTTGGGATCAGGCGATCCTTTTGCCTCAGCCTTTCAAATAGCTGGAAGTATAGGGATGTTCCAACATGTCTGGCTAATTTTTTGATTTATTGTAGAGACAAGTTCTCACCATGTTGCTCAGACTAGTCTCAAACCCTTGGATTTAGGCAATCCTCTTGCCTCTACTTCCCAAAGTGCTGGGATTACAGTTGTCATTTATTTATCGGTAAGGAAACAACTAAAGTAAATTTAGTTTAGTTTACTTTATAAGCATTATTATCTAGATGCCACTTTTGGAAAATGTTCAGAGTTCAATTATTTTTATATATTAAATAACCAAAGGTACTGATTCTAGTCTTTTATGTTTAAACAAGTAAAAGTAGCTATTAAAGATAAAACAGTCTCTGAAGTATAGTATATAACATAAACCTTTCTACAATAACAAAACTCCTTAAGAACTACTTCAGAAAGGTGATAAAATACTGGTCCTATTTCAGAGGACTGTAAACAACAATCTCACAGTAAAGTGAATAATAAAAATAAAAATGCTAGCTCTCATACCTGAAGAGAATGTAAAGAGAATAAATTTAAAACTAATATTAGAAGCATGGGATAAAGTAAACAACAACAAAGCAAGTATTCCTTAGTGTGATATTGTTGCTCCAGAAGATACTGTGGAAGTTCACTATAACAATTACCACAAAATGGAGGTCAGACCACCCCTGAGAGAAGCAGATGCATAATGGCAACTTCTTCCCATATCTAACATCGCATTCAGCCAGGGCAGCCAGGCAGGGAACACATGAGAGCTTCTGGTTGCTGAACCATCACAGCGGGAAGCCAGGAGGAGCGGAGGAGTGCCCTCGGAGCTGAGCCAGCACAACATGATTGTGTAGCACTCGTTCATTCAACAAAGTGCCTGCCTGCTGAGGGGCCATCACACCATTCTAGATACTCGCAATACAAAATAAATACGAGAGAGAAAACAGCACCATTCCCACCCTGGAGCAGCCCACAGATGAATAACATACTGCAATGTAGTAACTGTTATAAGAAAATATAACTGGGGTTTTAATTAGGTCACAATAGTTTTTTTGTTGTTGTTGTTTAGAGTCTCACGCCATCACCCAGGCTAGAGTGCAGTGGCACGCTCATGGACACCCAAGCATCAACCTGCTGGGCTCCGGTGATCCTTCTACCTCAGCCTTTCAAGTAGCTAGAACTACAGGCGCATGCTACTACATCTGGCTAATTTTTCATTTATTGTAGAGACGAGGTCTGGCCAAGTTGCCTGGGCTGGTCTCGAACCTGTGTGCTCAGGCAATCCACTCACCTCCACCTCCCTAAGTGCTGGGATTACAGGCTGAGCCACCGAGCCCAGCCAGGTCACGATAATTTTATGAAGTTGGAAGACAACTACTATTAGACTAAAATTTGTACTTTACAGATAAGGCAATCGGGTCTCCAATAAGTTAAGCAACTTCCCAAAGTTTATAAAAACCAAGTAGAAAAGAAAAAAATGTTTAAGAGAAAAATATTTTGACAGGTTTAACTCAGGGCTCATCCTTCTCACTCTAATTCTGGGTGGAATCTAACCCAACAGGGCTACAAGAAAGTCTAGGAATATTGTCTTTAAACCTCACCAGGTAATTCTGGTATGAAGCTAGGCTAACCCCCAGTACAGTGTTGAAGCACAAAACACTAAAGCTAGATAATCCTGGCTCTAATTACCACCTGCCACACTTAATTATGTGACTCTCGGAAAGTGATTTGACTTCTGTAAGTCCCAATATTTTCCTGTAAAATGAGACTACTTCTTAAGTTCACAGGATATAATAGATATCAAAGAATCTAACACATATGGTATCCAGTCAAGTGTCTGAGACAAAACAAAAACTTGATAAATGGTAATGGCTGTTATCCAGTAAAGGTAAAAGGAAGGAAGAAGTGTGGAGGGGAGAAGAGAGAAGCAGAGAAGAAAGAAAAGAACGATAAACTAGCATGTGCACACAAGACTACATATACCCCAGGAAATAATTTACTTACTATTTAATGCTCAACTTTTTAAGAGAATCAACAATTTTTTCATTCATTTTAAAGGAATCAGCCCAATGCATCTTTCCTTTCTTAAGCAGCTTTGGAAACTACTGAATATCTCTTTAAAGAGAAGAGGACAGTTTTTATTTGTTTAATACCAGTTTTTTTATATATAATTAACAAATCTTACTAATCACACATGAAAAGCATACCGCTTTTAATATTTTTATCTTATTTATTTATTATTTATTTTAAAGGTGTAGGCTACAATTCAGGGCCAGGTACAAAGTGGTCGCCGTATAGGTAAAGTCTGGGCCGCCCATTGGTCCTCACTTCACCTGGTTTGGGGCCCAGTACCCTTATTAATGTTATTTGAGCCCTCCCCCCACCAGTTTTTAATACTGAAACTGTATTCTGTATGAAGACAAACCAAGAATTACATAACAATAAATTTCACTTAATATAGCTGAATTAATAATACAAGTGCAATCAGCTTATGTATAATCTTAAAATACCACTTCACCTGGTGACTACTAAAATGCCCATGGTAGTTACCAAAATGACACAGGAAGTGGCCAAAAGAATTAATCACCCTCCAGGGAGGTTTCCGGTACAAATCTAACCTTGACCAATACAAACTGTCGGAGTTAAAGTCACAAGCCAGCCAGGCTCGGTAGCTCAGCCTGTAATCCCAGCACTTTGGGAGGCCGAGATGAGTGGACTGTCTGAGCCCGTGGGTTCGAGACCCACCTGGGCCACTTGGTGAGACGGGCGTGGTAGCGCGCGCCTGTAATTCTGGCTACTTGGAAGGCTGAGGCAGAAGGACCACCAGAGGCAGGCCGAGGCTACAGTGGCTGGGAGCATGCCACTGCACTCCAGTCTGGGCGACAGAGTGAGACTTCAACTCAAAAAAAAAAAAAAGTCACAAGCCAATACTGAAAGAATTAAGACTCTTAAATACTCTAGGATAAGGTACACATTTTAAAATTTGTGAAGCAGTACGATTTCCATAATTTTAGGTTTGCAGTGATGAACTGGGGGTGACCTTGTCCTTGAAGGGACTCCTGACAACATCTGGAGACACTTTTGGCTGTCACAACTGAGATGGGGGCACTACTATGATCCAGCAGGTAGAAGCCAGGGATGCTGCAAAACACTCTGTAATACACAGGCACATGCTTCCTCTCTATGACAAAGAATTATCTGGCCCCAGTCGTCAATAGCGCCAAGGATGAGAAACTGTATTAAACTGTGTAAAACATGTAAATATGAAAATATAAAATGCCATCCAAACAGAAACTTGTTAGTAAGTTATAACTCTACTACACAATAGTAGTCACAGTATTTACCTCTCAATGATAGGTTAGCAAGGAGGCAATATGGATATAGTATTACGTAGGAGTTGAAAGACCTGGCTTTGGAGTCTGAGAGATTAAAAACAAAATCCCAAATAATTCAATACAAGTAAGCTACTCGGGAAGATGAGACAGGAGGATCACCTGAGCCTAACAAAACTTTGTCTCTGGGGGGGGGGGGGGGGGGGAAGGAAAAAAGAAAAAATAATATCAGTAATACCTATTTCTTAGAGTTGTTGTAAAACATATAAAATAAAAAATGTTTCTAAAGGACTCAGCATTAAGGCTAGAACTCAGCAAAATAATAAATAATGACTAATACTAAAAATGAATGCAAACTGGATTTCTTACAAAATTATCAATTTACCTTCACTGGTCCCATCTTCTGGACATAATATGTTCCTATTACAAAATCTGTCTATTCTAGATACATGTCTATTATCGCTCTGTGATTTAGTAAGTGTGTTATCTTCATCTGACAAATCACTTTCACTGGAACTCCATGTAAGTCCACTGGTATTCTTAGATGTGGTCGATTCTGTAAAAGAAAAAGAAAGCATATAAATGTGATCAACAGGGGTATTTATCAGAGTAATATTTTATATACATGCTACTTTGCCAAAGTCACGAATACACAAAATGCTGATGATGGTGAAAGCAATGCCTTATGTCAAATCTTCCTGCCTAAAGTTCTATGTACAACCTCAATAAAAAGTCAAGTTAGAAAAAGAAACAAAATTTGTTGATATAAGGTATACAAAACAAGGAAAATGACTGGAGAACAAAAGAAAAACAGAAAAATAAAACTTCACATAATAGCTACAGAGCCATAACCTCCTAGAATATTTTATGAAACTGAAAACAAACACACAACACACAAGGTAAAACACAAAACCAAAATTTACAAATAACAGGAAGTTTCTGTGTGCTTCCTTTGCCACACTAAGAGCTCTGGAGGGAGCAGGGTAATTAAAAATATTTAGGGGAGACACCTCTTATCAACAAGGGTACCTGAACGAAGCATATTTGTATACCTAACCCTTAACTGTACCCCACAATATCATAATAAAAAATATTGATTATAAAAAAAAACATTTAACAGCAAACTTTGTATTTTATTAAACTTTTTATTTTGAGATTATGGCAGATTCACATAGTTGTAAGAAATAATACAGAAAGTCCTTGTATCCTTCACCCACTTCCTCCAATGGTAATATCCTGCAAAACTGTAGTACAACATCACAACCAGGATACTGACATTGATCTAGTCAAGATACACAACAATTCTACACAACAATTCTATCACCACAGGATACCATGTCTTATACTTTTACAGTCGCACCATCCCCCAACCCCCTCCCTGCCCCACACCAATCCCTGACCCCTGGCAACCACTCATCTGTTTCGCATTCCTATAATTTTGTCATTTCACAATTGTCATTTCACAATTGTCATTTCACAATTGTCCTATCAATGGAACTGTACTATGTAACCTGTGTACTATGTAACCTATTCTGAGTAAAAAAGAACTGTCTTTTTTACTCAGAATAATTTCCTGGACATTTATCCAAGTTGTTATATGTATCAATAATTACTTTATTTTACTGAATAGTATCTATGGTATGAATATATTATAGTTTGTTTAATCAATTACACACTGAAAGACTAGCGTATTGTTTCTAGTTTGGGTCTATTATAAATAAAGCTGCTTAGGAATATCCATGTGCAGAATTTTATGCGGATTTAATTTTCCCTTTCTGGGATAAATGCCTAGGGATGAAACTGCTGGGTTGTATGGCCACTGCATGCTCAGTCTGATCAGCTAAAGCTGCGAAACTGCTTTCCAGAGCGTGTGCCGTTTTACAGTTCTGGCACATTACTGGTGGCCCAGGCTCTCCACAACATCACCAGCCTTTGAAGTTTGTTGTTATTTACTATTGTAGCCATCTTGCTAGGCAGAAGACCTATAAGAAATGGGGTTACTTCATCTTGGCAGGACCAGAAGTCTACAGCAAACTGCTCTAACAGTGATCAGAAAAGGAATACATAATAAAAATGAACTGTTTCGCTTATATTCATGATTATAACTATAATGCTAAAACTAGATATATACATCTCTCTTTACTTATTTATTTATGTATTTCTTTTTATTTTTATTTTTTTTTGAGTTGGAGTCTTACTCTGTCGCCCAGGCTGAAGTGCAGTGGTACACTCACGGCCACTGCAGCCTCGACCTGCTAGGCTCAGGCAACCCTTTTGCCTCAACCTTCCCAGTAGCTGGAACTACAGGTGCACACTACCACGCCCAGCTAATTTTTTATTTGTTTGTAGAGACAAGGTCTCGTCAAGTTGCCCAGGCTGGTCTTGAACCCGTGGGCTCAGGCAATCCTCTTTTCTCAGCCTCCCAAAGTGCTAGGATTATAGGCCTGAGCCACCGCACCCTGAATATGCATCTATATTAATGGTATATTTGAAAAAATTTAAAGCACTTTTAAATATACTGAGATTAAGAGATCAGATATTTACAATTCATATTTTACAGAAGAGTAAATTTAGGCTTCGAAATTAAATGGCTTCACTCAATACATATTTATGGAACCCCTCTAAACCATAAGGAAACAAAGAAAACTTCTGTCCATAAGAAATGCAAGGTCTGAAAGGAAACACTAATCATGAAAAGAAAAGTTAAATATTATACTAGAGGTATGTAGTGACATAATGGTGGCATAAAATGAAATATTCTACTTTTTGTTGATCAAGAAACGGTTCACTGACAAGATGATATCTGAAAAAACAGCGCTTACAAGGTACAATTTACATGAAATAATCAACATTTACGGAACACTTACTTTGTACATAAACATTCAGAATTTCTGAAATGCCCCATCCTTCAAATTATTAAAAAAATAAGTAATTCAGAATAACCTAAGAATTCATATTTATTTAAGTAGTTAATAAAACTAAGCTGTGCACTTGCTTGAAAAAGACATTATCAATCTCTTTCATTAGTATGCAACTGAAATAAATAAGTAAAAAAACAAGTTATCACTGTTGGCAAATTATAAAAAGAACACATGAAAAATTTAAGAAACCAACTGAAAAACTGCTACCAATAATAAGAAATGCCAATACAGGTAGTAGGGTACAAAATATTCCAAAAAAATCAAATTTAAAACAGTATTATTTCCGGCCAGGCTTTAAGCCTGTAATACCAGCACTTTGGGAGGTGAAGATGAGAGGATTGCCTAAGCTCAGGGGCTTGAGACCAGCCTGAACAACACGGTGAGACCTTGTCTCTACAATGAAACAAAAAATTAGTCAGGCATGGTGGTACACACCTGTAGTTCCAGCTACCTGGAAGATTGAGGTGGAAGGATCACCTGAGCCCAGCAGGTTGAGGCTGTGGTGGCCATGAGCACTCCAGCCTGAACGACAGACTGAGATTCCAGCTCATTACAAAAAAAAAAAAAGAGGCTAAGACAGAAGGACAGCTTGAGGTCAGGAGTTCAAGACCAGCCTGGCAACATAGTGAGTTCCTGTGTCTACAAAAAAAAAAAAAAAAAAAAGGTATTATTTCTTCATTCTGAATGTGGTATCGAATTTTTATTTTGGAATTTTTGTTAATAGGCTGTCTTAAATTCATACTTTAGAAGCTACTGCCTTAGAAATGAACCAGTTCTAAGAAATGTCTGGAGCCCCTTCTTTCCACCACTCTCTGTTACAAATAGCAAGCTTTTATTAAATTATTAACAAGGCCGGGCATGGTGGTTCAGCCCTGTAATCTCAACCCTTTGGGAAGATGAGGCGGGAGGATCACTTGAGTCCAGAAGTTCAAGACCAGATGGAGCAACATAACAAGATCTCACCTCTACAAAAAATATAAAAATTTGCTGGGTGTGGAGGCATGGGTCTGTACTCCAAGCTACTCAGGACACTGAGGCAGGAAAACTGCTTGAGCTCAGGAGTTTGAGGCTGCAGTGAACTATAACCATGCCACTGCACTCCAGCCTGGGCAACACAGTGAAATCCTGTCTCAAAAATAAATAAATAAATAACAATACGTTCTTGCCTTAAGCTGCATATGCTATAAATAAAGTAACTATACATTGATACAGTGTTTTCAGTCTTTCAGAATATATTGATCATTCTAGAGAGTTAACAACTATAGCAGAGTGGATGAAATATGCACTACCATGGGAAAATCATCCCAAAAGATCATTTTGTAAATAAATACAAGGTAGCAACTTATTTAATATTTCTTTCTCTCAAAGTTGAATTTATTGCACTTACCACACTTACTTAAAATCTCCAAAATAAGATATAAACCAAATCTGTTTTTAAAAAAAAATATTGTTTTCTGCATATATTTATGAAGCCTTAGAAATCAGAATTAAACTGATCTTTGAATAGCACAGCATTTGGCACTAATAAGAAGGAAAGTAAAATGCTGCCGTTCCATCAGAAGATTATGGTATTACAAAAAGATGTGTGCAACTTGGTTTTATAATTACGGCATTTTATGAGTTTTAAAGTAATATTTTGGGAAATTTTATTTTTAATTTGCATAGAAAAGAACCCCCTTAAATGTTAGTAAGATAATAATAGGGCTTAGAATGTTTAGTCTCTTAGTCACAGAAAGTTATTTCATTCTGCAGAACTCTGAGCAGACTCTCACACAGCTCTTTCTGTCATCAGACATAACAGCAATTGCTGCTATCAATTTTTCCTAAGATTACATAATTAGGAAACAGCAAGATCCCTGAGGTCACAAGGTCCCATTCTTCCCTCCCACCCACAAGAGGCCTGACAGCCTGTGGGAGCAGAGCCAGCGGACTACGTGATACTCACCCCCTCTTTAATGGAAGTGACCCTGTATAACAGGTTCTGGCCAAGGGAGAGGTACTAAAGAGGGCAATCCTTCCCAAACCCCAAAGCTCTCTTGGTAAAAATATTCAGTACGTAGACTCTTCCCAAGAATTTGGCCTGGAGAATTCAGCAAATGTCTTCTGATCATCAGAACCAACCTCACACTACGGCTGCAAAACTCAGAATAGTCACTGCATTCCTGAATGTTTTGCTGCAGGAGATAAAATTAACACCATCTTTTTTTGAACAGAATTCCCTACTACTTACAACTTGAAAGCTTTCCCTAATTAATCAAGAAAGAACATCATAGCCTCATGTAGAGTAAGTTCTTACAGCATAGGTCATGTTTATTTCCTAAATCAATTTTTAAAAAGAAAAAAAAAAAAAGCAGAAACCCTGGAGCTATGAGTATAAGCGAACCTACTGAGCTCAGTGATTAAAAAATGAACCCAAGCCAGGCTTGGTGGCTCAGCCTGTAATCCCAGCACTTTGGGAGGCTGAGATGAGTGGACTGTCTGAGACCCACCTGGGCAACTTGGCAAGACCTCATCTCTACAATAAATCAAAAATTAGCCGGGCATGGTAGTGCACGCCTGTAATTCCAGCTACCTGGAAGGCTGAGGCGGAAGGATCGCCGGAGCCCAGTAGGTTGAGGCTGCGGTGGCTGGGAACGTGCCACTGCACTCCAGTCTGGGTGACAGAGTAAGACTCCAACTCAGAAAAATAAAAAATAAAAAAATAATAAAAAATGAACCCAGAAAGGACACGCAAAAATGCTAATAATGACCAGTAGGGGGCAGGAGAAATGGGATAGATGGTAACAGATAAAAGAGTATCAAAACAGATGAGAACCCTCAAAAATGCCATTTTATATTGTTTTGATGTTTTTTAACCATAAATGTACTGTCTACCCAAACGTCCAGACATAAACTTTCTCCCCCATATGTGGCTTCCTTCTGTTCCTCCCCTAGGGAGCAGACTCTGGCCAAGGCTAGTCTTTGCAGGGTACACACATATTCCCAATAGTAAGTCATGGGATGAAGGTGACTCCTCATAGCATGCGGGTAACCAAGCAACCTAAAGATAATGTAGTTGGCACTCTTAATCAATGTGATTGCAAACACTGTATAGGAATTTGAATAATTAGTTTGCTTGACTATAAAACTGTCTGCAATATTGTCCCAAGGCACAGATTCCTCACCAACCAGCTGCCATCAGTGCCTTCTTGTAAGTTTAATAAACCTACCGGACCTCCAGGTTATTTCTTTGGAATATACAGAAAATCTTAAGTGCAAGCTCTCTCAAATTTTGGGGCTGCTATGTTACACTAAACTATGTAAGTAACTTTAAAAAAAGAAAAGAATCACAGAAGGATATTAGCCTTATACTTTGTCAAGAAATCAACCAAATAACATTACCTTTCTTGGGCCTGGGAGATAATTCAAGGTGCTTTTCTGTAACAGTCTTCATTTCAGCTGTTGATGACTGCAGGCAAAATAATAATAAAGCAATTTATTTATGTGACAAATGCTAAAAACCAACATTATTACTGTAAAATATTAAAAAATCTGAAACTACACCATCCTTCACATATTCCCCTCTGATTTCCTTTACTTATATTCACCAATTTCAGTTTTCCCAAAGCACACGCTCCTTACTTGTAAATGTATTACACTAGAGGGGATCAAAAAGATCCAGAATTATATTTTGGAAGGCGGGTCCTTGTGGTGCAGGCTTTCCTTACTAGGTCAGTGTGCTAGGAACCCATCAGCATCAGTTTACAAGCTAGCGTTGTTGTGAGAGGCTGCACCTGGCTTCAGTGAATTTTGGTTTTTTGAGATTCTTCCAACATGTTTGCCCATTTATGATGAGTGATTTATGAGTACACCTGCCTACACTGTGCTCAGTGTTCAGCAGCTTTTATTTTTTGTTTTTAGTTGGAGTCTCACTCCATTTTACTCCATCGCCCAGGCTGGAGTGCAATGGCACCTCACGGCTACCCCAGCGTCGACCTGTTGGCCTCTGGCAATCCTTCCGCCTCAGCCTTCCAAGTAGCCAGAACTACAGGCGTGCACTATCACACCTGGCTAATTTTTTTATTTATTGTAGAGATGAGGTTTCGCCAAGTTGCCCAGGCTGTTCTAGAACCCATGAGCTCAGGCAATCCCCTCACCTTGGCCTCCAAAGTACTGGGATTACAGACTTGAGCTACTGTGCCCAGCCTGTTCAGCAGTTTTGACCAAAAATGGCCTGATCCCCATGCCCCATCCTCCTTATTCACCCAATCTTGCCCCAGTGACGTTTTTTGTTTCCTCATATAAAAAAAAGTCCTCAAAGGAAAATGTTTTGCCCATGTGGAAGAGGTGAAACAAAAAATAGCAGAAGCACTAAAAGACATCAAAATTTAAAAGTTCAAAAACTAGTTTGGGCAGTGGAAAAAGCATCTAGATAGGTGTATTGCATCAAACAGGGAATACTTTGGAGGTGACTAAATTTTAAAATGAAAGAATACACAATTTTTTATAAATAAATTCCGGGGGATTTGGGGTCCCTCTTCATACCTTTCCAGAATCTAAACAGAGATCCGACTGATCAAACGTTACATACTGCCATCCAATTTTAACAACTGTTCACATATACATTTCTGACCACCTATAAGTTCATTACTACCTGTACCCAAATTATCTTTAGTTTATCCTAACAGTCCTCTATTCCTCTTTATCATTATTACTTCATATATAAAAATTAACCAGAATATCTTGTTGCCAAAAAATACTGAGTATACAGGTTTACCTTGTGTTAGTGTGCTTCACTTTATTATGTGTCACAGATAATGCATTTTTTTTACACATTGAAGGTCTGTGGCAAGCCCAAGTCAAGCAAGTCTACAGGTGCCATTTTACCAACAGCATGTGCTCATGTCATGTATTTGTGTCATATTTTGGTAATTCTCCAAATATATAAAATTCTACCATTATCAGTATATATCTGTCATGGTGACCTGTGATCTTTGACTGGAACTGATTTAGGGCATCACAAACCACATCAATATAAAACAGCAAAATTGATAAATGTGTGTGTTTTGGCTGCTCTTCTGACCAGGTGTTTCCCTATCAATCTCCCTCTCCTCAAGCCTCCCTATTCCCTGAAACACAATATTAAACTTAGTCTATACAGCTGCCTCTAAGCCTTCAAGCGAAAGGAAGAGTTTCATGTCTCTCACCTTAAATCAAAAGCTAGAAATGATGAAGTTTAGTAAAGGATGTATATCAAAAGCCAACAAAGTCTGCAAGTTAATCCTTTTGCACCAAACCAAACAGTTGACCAACTTGTGAATGCAAAGGAAAAGTTCTTGAGGGAAATTAAAAATACCACTACAATAAATACACCAATGATAAGTAAAATAGACTTAGTGCTGACACAGATAAAGTTTGATCAGTCAGGACAGAAGATGAAACCAGACACAGCATTCCCTTAAGCCAAAGGTGAACCCAGGGCAAGGCACTAACTCTCTTTAGTCCTATAAAGGCTGAGGAAGCTGCAAAAGAGAAGTCTGTAGCTAGCAGAAGGTTGTCCATGAGGGTTAAGGAAAGAGGCTGTCTCCATAACATGAAAAATGCAAGGTGAAGCAGCAAGTGCTGATGTAGAAACTACAGCAAAGTAACCAGAAGATCTAGCAAAGATCACTGATGAAGGTGGCAACCCTAAGCAACAGATTTTCAATGCAGACAAAACAACAGACTTCCATTAGAAGAAGACGCCATCTAGGACTTTGACAGCCAGAGAGAAGTCAATGCCTGGCTTCAAAGCTTTATAGGACAGGCTGACTCTCTTGTTAGGGGCTAATGCAGTTGATGACATTAAGTTAAAGATTTTTTTGTTTTTTCGAGTTGGAGTCTCACTCTGTCGCCCAGGCTGGAATGCAGCAGCACACTCACAACCACCCCAGCATCGACCTGCTGGGCTCCAGTGATCCTTCTGCCTCAGACCTTCCAAATAGCTGAAACTACAGGCACACGCTGTCACACCCAGCTCATTTTTGATTTACTGTAGAGACAAGGTCTCGCCAAGTTGCCCGGACTGGCCTTGACCCACGAGCTCAGGCAATCTACTCATCTTAACCTCCTAAAGTACTAGGATTAAAGACTGAGCTACCGAGCCCAGCCAAGTTAAAGTTATTGTTCATTTATCTATTTATTTATTTATTTGAGTTGGAGTCTAAGTCTGTCGCCCATACTGGAGTACAGTGGCACGCTCCCGGCCACCGCAGTCTCGACCTCCTGGACTCCGGCGATCCTTCTGCCTCAGCCTTCCAAGTAGCTTGAACTACAGGCATGCGCTACCACATCCAGCTAATTTTTTTATTTATTGTAGAGATGAGGTCTCGCCAAGTTGCCCAAGTGGGTCTCGAACCCGCGGACTCAGGCAATTCACTCACCTTAGCCTCCCAAAGCGTGGGATTACAGGTTGAGCCACCAAGCCCAGCTATTGTTCATTTATTATTTCAAAAATTGTAGGGCCATTAAAACTTATGTGAATTTCCTCTGCCTGTGCTCTATAAATAAAACAGCAAAACCCAAAAGACAGCACATGTATTTACAGCATGGTTTACTGAATACTTTGAGCCCATTTGGGCCCATTCTTGAGACCTGCTGCTCGGAAAAAAGATTCCTTTCACAATTATTACTTTTCACTGACAACGCACCTAATCACGTAAGAGCTCTGATGGAGATGTACAAGATTAGTGTTGTTTTCATGCCTGCTAACACAGTATCCATTCTGCAGCCCATTGGAGTGGTTTTGACTTTCAAGCCTTATTATTTAAGAAATGTTTTTCATACGGCTATAGCACCATAGAGAAGGATTTCTGTTATGGATCTGGCAAAGTAAATTGAAACCTCATGGAAAGGATTCACCATTCTAGATGTCACTAAGAACATTTGTGATTCATGGGAAGAGGTCAAAATATTAACAATAACAAGAATGTGGAAGAAGTTGATTCCAACCCTTATGGATGACTTTGAGAGGTTTTAAGACTTGAGTATAGGAAGTAACTGCAGATGTGGTGGAAACAGCAAAAGAACTATATAACAGAAATGTAACCTGAAGGCATAACTGAACTGCCATAATCTCATGATAAAACTTGAACAGATGAGGAATTGCTTCTAACGGATAAGCAAGAAAGTGGTTTCTTTAGATGGAATCTACTCCTGGTGAAGATGCTGTGAACACTGCTGAAACGACAATGAAGGACTTAGAATAATATGTAAACTTAGTCGATAAAGCAGTGGCAGGATTTAGAAGACTGACTCCAGTTTTGAAAGTTCTACTGTAGATAAAATGCTATCAAACAGCACCACAAGCAATAGAGAAATCTTTTATGAAAGGCATAGTCAATTTATGTGACAAACTTCACTGTTGCCTTATACTAAGAATTTGCCACAGCCACCCCAACCTTCAGCAACCACCACCCTGATCAGTCAAAAGGAATCAACGTCAAATTGAGGGACATGCTTTTTTTTAAGACATAATGCTAATAACATAATTTTTATATGCACGGGGAAATCAAAATATTCATGTGACTCCTTTTGTGATATTCAATTTATTGTAGTGGTCTAGAAACAAACCTATAAATAAACCTATAATAACCTGTATAAACATTGTATAAATATACTTCTTGTGAAGAGTATGCTCAATGGTTTTATCTTCTGAGAGTCTTCTTAGTATATATCTTTCATTTATAAGCAAATAGAGATGTTCTGCATGGCATAAAGATATGGATACTAATTTACCACAATTATTAAAAGAATTCAAGGAATGAGGAAAAAAAAGCAACACACAAATTACAGTGTCCTGAATGAAAAAGGAAGGGAATGCTAAAGAAATACAATAGTCCAAACACATAGGATTTACTCTTCAGCATTCAAGTAAACAATTTTACAATTACTTTACCAGAGTCCCAGAAGTGTCCTGAAATCCTTCTCCACACCGGAGCCATGCTTCAGAGAGGGAGGTGGCTGTCCCTGCTGTCCTGAGACCTGCTCTTCTGACCGGCTGTGGCCTTTCTCCTGGAAAGGACGGGAACTCTATATCCCAATTCCTTTTTCTCTGTGGAGATGATTTTTAAAAGAAAAACAAAAACATGGTTGTGGGTTGCTATTGTTAAGCTGATTAACTTTATTAAATATACATTAAGTTGAAAATTAACAATTTGGAAACCGAGGAGTAGCAGCACTAAAGTAATAGTTTTTGAAGGTATCTAAATCAACACATAAAAAGCAACTACAGCCGGGCTCGGTGGCTCAGCCTGTAATCCCGCGTCTTTGGGAGGCTGAGGTGAGTGAATTGCCTGAGCCCGCGGGTTCGAGACCCACCTGGGCAGCGAGACCTCATCTCTACAATAAATCAAAAAATCAGCCGGGCATGGTAGCGCATGCCTGTAATTCCAGCTACTCGGAGGGCTGAGGCGGAAGGATCGCCAGAGCCCAGCAGGCGAGGCTGCGGTGGCCAGGAGCGGCCACTGCACTCCAGTCTGGGTGACCGAGTGAGACTCCAACTCAAAAAAAAAAAAGCAACTACACAGCAAAACCATAAACGCATAGACAACACTTACAACTATTCAACAAACTCTAAAATACAAGCGGGTGAGTATAAGCCATGAGCCCTCCAAAGTCCTATGTGGTATCAGTACATGAGAGGAAAGAAGCTGAGGGAAGCAAGGCAAGCAAGGAGGACCTGAGAACCTAGGCACCAGGGCTTACAAGGAAGGAGTGCAGGTAATAATCCACCTGAGAGCAACACCTGAAACTGGATGTGGGCAAGGGCTCCACCCTAAGAGGACGTGAAGAGATAGAAGCTGCCTGGGACACCTGAAACTGGTCATCCAGGACTCTCTTCAAGGACAGGGTTCCACATTAAGAAAGTACTGGGAATGAAATTCACAGTAGCACAGGGGTAGCAGAAACAAACAAACAAACAAAAAGGTCCAGATGGAGCAAAGCCAGGAAGTACCTATATAACAAGCAAGTGACCATATTTTTACAAACTACATGAAAACAACACCAGATAGAAAAGCTATCCTGAATCCTGACTCCTTCCAACGTTTCAGAAAAACTTCTAGCAAACTTCTAACATTTTCCGAAAAATAAACAACAGAAAAGTATCCAAGCCAAATCCCATACAGTTTTTATTAGAGGAAAAAAATAAGGAGCAAGATGACACCCCAACATACAAAGAAAGTGCACCAAAGACACAAAGAAGAGATAAAACAGTAAACTACTATTTCAAAATAAGACAAAACATGCAGAGTAAGAAAAACTCAGAAAAGAGGTGACAAAATTGAAGAAAGTAGCACAATAAAATTTAAAAATCACCTGGGGAAAAAAATAACAAAAATAGAGGGAATCCAAGAACAAACAGGTATCATAGAAAATATCTTCAGAGAAACAGCAGCCGGGCTTGGTGGCTCAGCCTGTAATCCCGCGCCTTTGGGAGGCTGAGGTAAGTGAATTGCCTGAGCCCAAGGGTTCGAGACCCGCCTGGGCAGTGAGACCTTATCTCTACAATAAATCAAAAACTCAGCCCGGCGTGGTAGCACATGCCTGTAATTTCGGCTACTTGGAAGGCTGAGGCGGAAGGATCGCCGGAGCCCAGCAGGTCGAGGCTGCGGTGGCCAGGAGCAGCCACTGCACTTCAGTCTGGGTAACAGAGTGAGACTCCAACTCAAAAAAAAAAAAAAAAAAAAGAGAGAGAGAAATAGCAGGTTAAAAGGAGAAAATTTTAAAGTTTCGCCCTCACGCCTCCAATGAAGAAAGAGAAAAAAAGATTCACGAGAACTAGAGACTGGATCAGTCTGCAGAAATCCAATATACAGATAACAGGAATTCCTAAAGAAGAAAACCAGTGCAATAAAACAAATACTAAAATTCCAGAAGCATTCCAGAAATAAAGAAAGAAGAATGTAAGCCAAGGAGTTTATATCTAGCATCAATAACATTGGCTTATTTGAGATATCTTTCTTTTTTTGTTTTTAAAAATACATTCCTACAACAGACATACATATATTTCATAGCATTTTTAATTTGCATTTTAATAAAAATTTTAGGTTTGTGTGGCATATTAAATTACAAATCAACTATTATAACTTGATTACCTAATCAGAAATATGTTTCCTCAACAATACCATTATAGTTTAAGCAATAATAACTATAAATTAAAGTTAAAATACACCATTAAAACTTCTTTAACTAGTGCTATGGTCTGCATGTTGCTGTCTTCCAAGATTCTTATGTCGAAGTCCTAATCTCCACAGTGATGTTATTAACAGATGAAGCCTTTGGAAGCTAACTAGGACATGAGGCCCAACCCGCCATGATTCAATTAGTGTCCTTATAAAAAGAATGACCCAGCCGGCTCTGTAGCTCAGCCTGTAATCCCGCGCCTTTGGTTGGCTGAGGTGAGTGGATTGCCTGAGCCCGCG